GGTGGGAGTGGCTGGGGAGAGGTCAATGGGGGAAAAATAATATTGTAATAGCTATGTACAGGCCGGGGGGGGTGGGGGGAGTACTTGAAATATCAGGGGGACCACTCTGTAAAGTGTATGATTGTCTAACCACTATGTTGTACACCTGAAACTAATACAGACTAATATGGAATGTGAAAAAATAAAAAATAAATAAAGTGCTACATAGGTTACTACTATATTTTTGCATTCACAATTCATTGCTGGTGATGCCTATTATTTACCTGTAGTTGGGTCAGAAATGCAACCCAACTTCAATGTTGTTCTGGGAAAACATTTCATTTTATAAGGAGTACTAGAGGCCCGCTGCACGAAGAGATTCGTGCAATAGGCCTTCCTTCCCCTGGCTGCCGGCACCAGTTTTCCCGGCACCCAGGACCCAGGCCTTCGCTCTGGCCGCAGGGGAGAAGCCAAGCCTCTTCAGTCTTCAGTCGTCTTCTTCAGTCTTCAGACTTCGCTCAGGCCAGAGCCTTCAGTATTCGCTCCGTACCTGCATATGCAAATTAACCGCCATCTTTGTTGGGTTAATTTGCATACTCATCCTGATTGGCTGGTGGGCATAGCAGAGTGACACCAATTTGCATGTTTCTCTTTTATTAGTGTAGATATTGCAGTAAAAAGTAGAGCTCATCCATAAAACATTACAAAATACTGGTTCTGCCTGGCCAGTGTGGCTCAATGGTTGAGCATCTTTTCAGGTACCAAGAGGTCCCAGTTCTCCCAGTCAAGGCACATGCCTGGGTTTCAGCCTCAATCCCCAGCAAGGGGGGTGCAGGAGGCAGCCAATCGATTTTTTTTTAAAATATATTTTATTGATTTTTTTTTACAGAGAGGAAGGGAGAGGGATAGTTAGAAACATTGATGAGAGAGAAACATTCATCAGCTGCTTCCTGCACGCCCCCCACTGGGGATGTGCCCGCAACCAAGGTACATGCCCTTGACCAGAATCGAACCCGGGACCCTTCAGGCCGACACTCTATCCACTGAGCCAAACCGGTCAGGGCCAGCCAATCGATTTTGATGTTTCTCTCATTAATATTTCTATCTCTCTCTCCCTCTCCCTTCCTCTCTCTCTAAAATCAATAAAAAGGTATTTTTTAAAACAATCAAAATACTGGTCCCATTGGAAGTAATATTTACCAACTATGCCCTGGTGTTATTTATTGATTTAGAGTTACACTTTAAGGTAGCAGATGCTATTCCTACTTCTCAAATCCAACAACAACACAAAATCCAAAAGTACATTTTTATTTGCAGCAAAATTATAAGATAGATGGTACTTTAAAGTAGATATTTAAACTCAATACCTGAAAAACTGAAATGTGATGTTTAATTACAGCTCAAATTTTAAAAAGGAATTTTTAAAAATCAAATATGGCACTGCAATTTCCTTAAGCTACTTTGTTTATTTCAAAGTGTCAAAAAAACTAAAGATGTTCTTGTACACACAAATGCTATGTGTCTAAGAATTCAGAACTATGCAAAGAATTTTTCAATATGACTAAAAAATGAAATATTTACACACTTTAGTATAGTATTTAATACTTAATACATCTCTTTCTGATGCAACTTCTAAAGAGCAATGATTCAACCAGAAAAATAGTAAAGGCTGCCTTTTCTTTTTTAAAGTGCTTATTAGCAAACATTTCCAAAAGCGATGGTTTTTAGAAATACATAATATTCAAAAGTGCTCCGAGTCACTACTTATAGAATCGAATATGCCATTCTGTACCTTTGCACATGTAAACTGGTTTATCTGCATTAATGAAAGATTGCTTTCAATGGCCCTCAACTATATGCTTCAAATCATAATAGTGCTATTAGTATCAGCAGCGGGAACAGTAACAACAGAACAAACCCAGCACATTTTTAATGGATCACAGCAGACTAGACAGTTACAGCTTGTGGATATGTTACATATCCAAGAATGAGCCTTTTCTTTCCCTCTGCCTATACGGTAAACATTTAAAAACAAAAACACCTTCTTGTCTCTCTTATAGAGTATTTTACAGTACACAAAGATATTCAAATTCTTGTAACATTTAACCAAACTCATTTTAATACAAAGCCTGTTTCCACCAAGAAAGTAACTAGGAATTAACAAATGAAATACCTAAGACTAAAAACCTGAGGGGAAAAATTGTAAACAACTCAGAAATGAAGCTTTTTAAAAAAGACAGAAACATTCCAAATAGAATGTTTTCTGAGAGTGAAGTATTTGACTTCATATCAATCATATCACTTTTATCTGATTTAAATAATTTAGAAAAAATAAGCATCATCTTAACTGCTTTCTGTATCAGCTCATTCTGACTCATGCCCCTAGTATAAACCATTTAGTGGTCCTATTGTGAGCATCCCCACAGGTCCCTGTCTGAATCTTACGCTTCTTTTTACTCCTCCAGTATCTCCCTTCCAAAAATCCCCAAATATCCTAAGAAAATCTCCATTAAAAAGTCACAATTTAAATACAGTGTGATAATGCTACATTTGACTTAAAGTAGTAATAAATTATAAATTGCCAAACAACTTAATGTAATTCACAATGCAAAATCCCTGGTATAAAAAGAATCCATCTTGCCCTGAATATAATAAAGCAGTCCAATGATTTCAAATTACTTATGAAATAAAGGCAAAAATAAGGTGTAAAATAGTATTTATAAAAGTCAAGTAAGAAACCAGTTACCATAAATCTTTTTACAAAGATAAATGTAATGGGTCTTTCCACTTTTAAAAATTGTTAGGGAGGTCTATAATTAGTGGTTTCAAAAATGACTTTAAGAAAACTAGAGACTGAATTACTTATTATTTATAACATGACATATTTAATATATAAGTAACAATAATACTGCCATGGTAATGTAAATTAATCTTTGGATCTGCTACTTTTTGGCAAGTATATTTCTTTTTCAAAGTCTTTGCTATAACTGATTAATTTGTAAATGTCGGTTTTCAAAAACTTTGCTACTTGAGATATTGTTAATAAGATACCAGAAGTCACAAATAGTAATATGCCTACAAAATAAAACAAAGATTGTCCTTGCATATTTTGTTATTATAATAAATAGACTTTAAAATAGACAACATTGCTATGCCTGTAAATTAAAAATACCCAAAACCTTTAAAAGGGGGTGGAAAAGGAAAGAAAAACCAAAAATTCTTATTTTTTAAAATAAATCAGAAGTCCTTAAATTTCTTAAGAACTTTATCTTCTTTTGGACCAAGCTGTATCTTTCACCATTCATCCATGGGATATGATGTTAATTCTCCATTTTGTAGGTTTCAGTTTGAATTTTCTTGAAAGTTTGCAAAGCTGGTACTGGACTTGAGACGTTTGGCTATATAAATCAAAAGTATTAACTTAAACTTAATTCTCTAAATATTATTATTCATTATTTTAATGTAAACTATAGTATTTTTTTAAAAATATAGTACTCATCTATTAATTCTATATTTGAATCAGAATAGGTTCAATCTTCTAAGAATTAAAACCTAAGTCTATTTTTTTCTATCAAACTCAAAAAACATAACTTTGTTAGAAGCAGTACCAAGTAAAAAAGACGTAAGTTATATCATATTGAACATCACAATCTTAAATATGTAATATAGGTGAAAGTACTCACAAATGGAAGTGCTATAAGGTATAATAAAATTACATATTCAAAAGTCTAAGTTAGAAATCCAAATATAAATTTCTCTTAAAAGAATTCAATTCAGCCGTGGCCGGTTTGGCTCAGTAGTTGATTGAGAGAGTCAGCCCGAAGGGTCGAGGGTTAAATTTTCAGTCAAGGGCATGTACCTCGGTTGCAGGTTCGATCCCCAGCCCTAGTGGGGGCACCTGCGGGAGGCAACCAATTGATGTCTCTCACCTCCATGCTTCTCTCTCTCTCTCTCTCTCTCTCTCTCTCTCCTCTCTTTCTCCTTCCCTCCCTCCCACCCTCCTTTCCACTCTCTCTAAAAATTAATAGGAAAAAATGTCCTCGGGTGAGGATTAAAAAAAATAATACTTCAGTTCATAGGCACAGACAATAGTATGGAGATTACCAGAGGGAAAGGGGGGACAGGGGGTTTTTCCAAAAAACATTTTCTTTTTATAAACTAAAATTACTAAAAGAGAAGCTCTTACTTTCATTCTGAAAATAAACAAGCATCTCAAGAGACTTAGAGGCATTTTCCTTCAGCTAAATGGGACCTTCTAGTTAGTGCTTTTTCTGCTCTGCCCTATTTGATGGGAACAAAGGAAAGGTATTAATTTGTATCGAGCACATGCTATATGTCAAGTAATGTTCTTGCAACTGCAATTTCAATTTGTTCAGAAATAAACTGTGTGTAAGCTATCATTTATCCTTGCCAGCTGCACTTTCAGGTGCTTCTGCCATGGCTCCAGTGGGCCTAAGAGCTGTCTCTATCTCCCCATTGTGGCCATTTCAGGTCTTCAACATCTTTGTTGCTTATTTCTCCGCTGTTGCCAACCTATTCCAGGGAATCTAGCTTTTTCAGTTAAAGCATCTGAAAGATACTGTATGTTGACTTTTGATGATCTGCACTTATAAATTTCTTATACATCTCTTTCATTAGTAAGCATAATTGTGAAATTGGAAGTAAAGAATTGTCTAAGGATAATAAACTTTGAGTTCTCAGAGTATATATCATTTTTAAAACAGGCCTAAATTTTTATTTTTATTTTTAAAATATATTTTTATTGATTTCAGAGAGGAACGGACAGGGAGAAAGAGAAACATCAATGATGAGAGAGAATAATTTATTGGCTGCCTCCTGCATGCCCCCTACTGGGGATCAAACACACAACCTGGGCGTGTGTCCTGATTGGGAATCAAGCCGGGACCACTTGGTTCATAGGTCAATGTTCAACCACTGGGCCATGCTGGCCAGGCCAGGCCTAAATTTTTAAAATACAGTTTTTTAACTAAATAAATGAACAATTATAAAAAGACACTTACGTAGAATGAGTTTTCGTTTCTTTTGTTCTGAGTGAAGAAAGCTACTAAGGTAGAAGACCACAGGTAGAAAAAGGATGAACACAGAAACAGCGATTACAGGCACAGTATCACTGCAAGGGACCGAACAATTGAAAGTTCGACTCCAAAGTTTTCGAGTAATGTTCATCTGGAAAAATAACAAATAATATTACTCTATTTTATATTTAGTTTGTCTTCAATTTCATACAATTATTTTGTTAATAACTAAACAAACACTTAGAATTTAGACTAAATATACATGGTAAAATAAATCTATGGATCGTTGAGTACAATATCTTTTGCCAGGAAATAAGGTGGTTCACAATTAGTTAGTCATTGTATAAATTTATATCCATACAAAAATTTCATATTCTAAATTCATAATGTTAACCTTTATGTCCAAAATAATGTCCTAATGTCCAAATAATGTTGACCTTTCACAGAGTTGACACAGAGAACTTGTGTCAATAAGAATATAGTAAGACCATGCTTCATCCATTAAAAAAGATTTAAAAGGGTAACTATATGATGTGATGGGTGTGTAAATTAACTCGACTATGGGAATCCTTTCACAGTGTATACATGTCAAATCATCACGTTATACACTTTAATTATATTATAATTTTGTCAATTATACCTCAATAAAATGTGGGGAATGGAGCGGGGAGAGACTCACAAAATTTTTTTTCCTATTACATATGTAATCTCTAATCTAGTTGCAATATTTTTAGATGAAGATAAAAATATCAACTTTATAGGGCTTCTCTGTTTATGAAATGCCTAATATTTTATCTGAGATATATGAAAGATTCATACTCATGGCAAATATATTTAAGTACATAATACCCAATGAGTCATGGAAACTTTCTTAGACAATATTAGTATCTTATTTAGTAGCATACAATAGATACAAGTTAAGGGCAGCAATATCTTACTTTCACTGAGCTCTTGATTTCTGTCAGTCTGATAATACAAGGAAATTATCAAATTTAATATAGAAAACTGTTCTTCTCTGGATTTTGTTTACTTGAGGTACGTTTACAAATAATACATTGTATGTTTACTGTAAGTTTTGCTTATTGCAAGAAGGATGTTCTAAAATAGGTAGTCATGTTGATTTCTTGTATAATTCCACTTATGTCACAGAACCAATATTCATTTTTCTTCTTTATTTTAAAAACAATGAAATAGACTATTGTTTTAAAAACATATATTTATTACTTATTGAGAGTCTACAAGAAACCAGGTACTGTCCTAGCCAGTTTTGCTCAGTGGATAGAGCATCGGCCTATGGGACTGAAGAGTCCTGGGTTCAATTTGGTCAAAGGCACATGCCTGGGTTGCAGGCTCGATCCCCAGTAGGGAGCGTGCAGGAGGCAGCAATCAATGATTCTCTCTCATCACTGATGTTTCTCTCTCTCTTTCCCTCTCCCTTCCTCTCTGAAATCAATAAAAAAAATATATATTAAAAAAAGGGAAAGAAATCAGGTACTATTCTAGACATTGGTAATAAAGCAGTAAAAAAAACCCACAAAAATCCCCAGGGTGCATCTATTTGAAATGCTTTTTGCCATCCTGAATATTATTGATCCACTATAGTTAACTCTGGGCTGCTATGATAATTCATATTCATCATTCTCAGCCATTAAGTTTATTAATTTTGACCCTGAGTTCTCTATGTTTAGCCAGTAATTACTCACTTTCCTCTAAGCCTCAATACTCAGACATCATATTCCTATAAAAAGGCATGATCGCCATCTTGTGGTGCCCCATGAAAAGGCAGGCTATACAATGGAGAAAAAGCTTTTTTGTTGACCATTCATTCCATCGATACATATTACTAAGGGCCTGTTATATGCCAGACCCTGTTCTAAATACTAAACAGAAAACAAAAAGGGGCATGAGGTCCTTTTATCCTCATGTGGCTTATACTTTAGTGGGGGAAGACAGACTATAAATAAGTAAACAAAGAAAATTTTCAGATAATAATAGATATAAAGAAATAAAGCAATGGGATAGGAAATAATTGAGGAATGGCTTCAGAAACACATGACAGCAAAACTTCTTGAATCAGCAACACATGAATAAGAAACTGAAATGTAAACACATAACAAAGCCCACACAACTGAGAAAATGATACAAATTATTAAACTTAAAAATCAAAATGTACCAAAGTATCAACTCAGTTATGAAGACCTGATTGATTTCCATTTTAGTTTGACAGATAAGGATATTCTAAAACTTTACTACTTTATAATTAGTTATTTCTGGTTGAAGACAAAATATGAAGATTCCAATATACCTCTGAAAGGGGTAATAATACTGAAGGCATATTCAACAACACTGTAAAATATGTATCTTATTAGAAGCAAAGTACTTACTGCATCTTCCACATCAATGCATAAATGTGTTCCAGGTTCAGCCTTATTCTCAAGTTCATTCCTTTTTTGCATTTCACTGTACATACTACTCAGAGTTTTGTACGCATTGCGACAGTTTTTGCATACTTCTGAATAGTTTCTTAACTGCAGAAGACTGTGTATGCTCTCCTAAATTGTCAAAGGCACATATAATACATACAATAAACATTACATCTCTTTAATGTAAGCTATTTGCCCTCCTAGAAAACAGGAAATAACAGAGTATGGTAAGTGCTGAGCTATGATGTTGGGCAGGTCGCTAAGTCACTCTGAGCCTCGGTTTTATCATCTACAATGGAGGACTACACTACCTGTATTATAGGTCCCAAGGATTAGAAACCTGGCATGTAAAGCACATAGCAAAATATATTGGCACTTTCCAGTTACCTCTAAATTCTGAAAACTACTGCACTACCCTCTGTTAACTGAAGACAACAAAAATTTCCTAAATTATCTTACCATTTTACATATTTGCTCTTATGTATCCTACTTTCACCGCATAAATCAAATATGAGCTTGCCTATGTTGACTTCAACAGACAGGACTTTATTAATGGGAAAGGAAAAGTCACTAAAACTACATCCCACATGATCCTCTTACCCCAAGGTTTGTAATCCAGGCCTTTCTACTCAACAAAAAGGGACTAACACCAAAGAATTCTTTAACCTAAAATGAAGGTAATGGATATAACATATAAGATAGTATGTTAGTGAATCTCAGTCTTTTTTACTTAGGACTAATGCTGTGTTTTCTAAAGAGTCAGTTCACTTTATTCTTCACCTTGTGGCCTGGAGAAATGCTATGTTAACTGAATATCAGAATGAAAGAGAAAGGAATAATAAGAGGATGTAACATGATATAGCCCCCACAACGTTAGCCTCACCATCTATTTGACAGAGAAACTAAGACTCTAGTTCTGTCACAAGAAATGGCCCATTGCCTCTTTTTCACAGAACAACTGTGCATTTAGCTAAAAGCGTTCAATCAAAAATTGAGCACAGACCCTTGATGGGAGAGTGTAATTTAGGCATTTATATTAAAATTTTAAATGCACATATATTTTAACATAGCAATAAAAACCACAAAGATACTAAAAGAAATCATAAGAAAATTTTAAAAAATAATCTCAAAGTGGGAAAAGGCCTTCTAGTGTGACACAAAATCTGCAAACCATTAAATATTTTTTATAAATCTAACATAAAAATTGAAATTTATTCATAACAAAAAGAAAAACACAATAAAAAGACAAAAAACAAACTAGGAAAAATATTTGCAACTAACATTCCAGGAGAAATGCTAATTTCCCTAAAATGCATTCATCAGAATACTAATCTCTTAAAGTAAAGAGTTTCTGGGTAAATAGGTTTGATATACAAAAATTACAATTTAGAGTTTTACAACACACATTACTCCACTATAATTGTGAAGTCCTGTAGTAAAGCATTTCCCAACCTTATTAGTACAAAGGCTATCTACTAACATCCTTCCGAACAGTTTTTATTATTGTCAGGAAAATTCATAATTCTGTGTTATCATGAGGAAATCATACATATCTATATCCTAAATATGTTCACATCTACTTGTAGGGATGATTTACTTGTTAAGGGAGTTTCAAAACTATAATTTTATCAGAGTTCCAATCTCATCCTCACCACCACCAAGGAGGTTCCAATACCAACATTCAGAGATCAGAGTTGGACAAACTGAAAACCACTAGGGTAGGTTTCTTGAAGGCTACCTTTTATATTATTAATTCAATACTCAAAGTTACCTACTAAACAGTGCCTTTTTAAGTAGGTAAAATATATGTAAGTGAATACTGACGCAAAGAATAAGCTTCCTATAAACACACAGAATCATATGCATTGCAAAATACCGTACTGCACAAAGGCAAAGTAAATTACTGTCCGACAGAACATTACGTTTACTAGTAAGTTAAACAATCACACGTCTCAGTTAATGTGTTCATGTTCAGTATCTCACTGGGTCCTCACTACAAAATACTTGAAGGTAGGCTGGGTAGATCTTGCTATCCCTAAGGTATAAAAAAGAAAACTAAAGTTTCTGTGATTTGCCTAAGGGCTAGTAATGGAAAAATTCAGCAGACATCCAGGTCCGCTAACTTCTCTACATTGTGTGTATAGATTAATGCCATAAGAGTTGGAATTATTTTTTATTCATTTTAATTTCAAGTATCAGATATAAAATACCTGAAGGTTATGCTCAAAGCAGGTCAAGGTGTTATTAAATTGATTGAGGAAGTTTAACGTGCTAATTGATAATTCTTCACTTTTGTTCGTTAAACAATCTGTCAAAAAAAAAACGCAAAAAAGTATATTAATATATCTCAAGCAACAATTATATATTTCCATTTCTCTCCCTCAAGCTACCATCTTCTGTTTCACACTATAGTAATTCTTTATTTAAACAAGCTTGAAGTGTTCCATATAAGGGAATTTCCCATATACATAAAGTTTACCCCTTTTAGTTTCCAAAAGTTATTTTTTATATCATAACCATTTTCATGAAAATCTTAAAATAATCACATATTCTCCTTGCTTTATAAAAACAATATACCAATCAATTTTTGTCGGCACGTCTTAATCATGAACATCAGTTATCAAATGCTGCCTTAGTAGGATTTAGTGCTGTTTAGGTATAAGACTGTTTATCCTGCATTATTTTTTCCTAAATTCATCTGCTTTTTTATCCTTTTCTGTATCGAATTTAGTAGGTCTGTGTCTCATCATCATTAGTGGGTCATTTGTTGCATCTAACAGGGTAACATTTTTTCATATGCCCTTTGGGAGACCAGAGAAACAAGCTGGTGGGAATTTTGCCTGAAATACTGATAAAGAGACTTCAAGTATGGTAAAGCATGGGGGAGAAAAAATAGAACTGTTTACACGTCTTAAAAATCTCACATAAATGATATTCCTCTGCAACTTGCTTAGCATTAGCTCAAGTTCATTCCTTTTCACTGTTTTCTATGTTGAATGTAGCCCAATTTACCTATTCTCCCTTCTTCAATAAACCTATTCTTTAACCTCACTTTGTTTTTACCTCTCCGTGTTCTCAGTTTACCCTCTTGTCTGGTAGGTTCAAGTGCCTAGCTTCACATCCTAGAACTCATGGTCAGCAGTTTCAATCTCACCCTCCTAGAATCCTGATCCTCTTTGCATTCCACATACAAACGTTTTCAACCCTGGACAGACTCCATTTACTTTCTTGACTCCAATTCTGGTTGTCGAATATTATTTTAGAAAATTCTAAAGTTAGAGTAAACGAACTCAATTCTAATTCACAAAACAATCCTTATAGATGCCCTACCAATTACTCTACAAAGGATGTTCCCAATGTTTTCTATTCTGTAGCAATCAACCCCACTCTTGTCCCCCTTAATTTCAACTGGTAGCTGTATTATATACCCCCGCAGGGCCACCTATTATAATAGCTCTCAACTGGGAATGGAGAGACAGAATAGCAGGCTATTGCAATTATCCAAGAGAAAGGTGGCAATGCAAATGAAAAGAATTCAATGGATAATAGAGACTGAGTAGGCAGTGAAGGGGACCAGACTATGCCACCTCAAAATAAGCCTCTATAGCATATGGATTATTTTGAGCTAAAGGCCACTGAGAACCAGCAGATGCAAGAAAACTCCAAAAGCAGGGCACAAGTTTGCATTTTGTAAATATTTATGAAGGAAATTTCCATTTGCAAAGATGTTTGCCTATCATGTAAAAGGAAGAAGAGGACTCAACAACTCTTACCAATGGGGAGGCACTAACTTCAATCTCTTGTGACGAACCTTACTATACAACCCTTGTTTACCATACCTTTCCTGGTCACCCTCCCATAACTTGTCTCCTCCACCCAGAAGCCCCAAGTCCCTTTTCTTTCATTAGCCTACGATGGCATATAAACCCAAATTCTAACCATCCCTTTGGGTTACTCATCATTGGGGGCTGCCATGTATACAAGTGCAACGCATATGTTAAAAACTTCTGCTTGTTTTTCTCTTGTTAACCTGTCTTTGGCCAGTCTAATTTGCAGAGTCTCACCCAGAAAACCTAAAACAGAGGAAAAAGATTTTTTTCTTCCATACAGTAGACACTAGGATATGACACACTATGAGATATGCATGTAGTATGATAAACAACAATCATTACAGTGAAAGCTAACATTAACTGAGTACTTGTGCTATGCTTGTGCTTTAAACACTTTTTTTTCCATTTCATTCTTACAACAATCCCATGAGGAAAGAACTATCATTATCTCCATTTTCTAAATAAGGAACTGGGGCTTAGAAGAATTAAGGAAGTTGCCCAAAGTCACAAAACTGTTAAGTGAAAACGAAATTTCTACTCAGTCTGATTTCTGAGCCTGCACCTTCAAACATTAAAAAATAATTAAATATTTACATATAAATTCTAACCATTAAAGTTCAATACTCAGAGTCAAAAAACACCTGCCACATTCCTCCCTCCACTGCCCATAGATGTCTTACACGATGCAGAGATTCGGTCACTACCAAATGATCAGTGTTGGTGCCTGAGATACAAACCTAAACCTGGTGAATGGGGCAGCAATAGCAATTAAGACTTCTTTGTGCAAATTTTAAAAAGACATCCCCTCTGGGTAAACTAATTACCAAAAAACAAACAAACAAAAAAAACCCCACCAACACGCCTGCTTCCAGAGGCTGAGCTGGAACTGGGCCCCATTCACCCCTCACACAATCCCCTAGGTACATGGGTTGGTCTGTACCTTGTGTACATAAGACCCTGCTAGTGAACCTATTTCTACAGTCTTTCCTTCTCTCAACTCATGTACCTATCTATATTCCCTGCAGCCTTTTCTTCTCAAGAATGTGAGTTCCTTTCTAACTGTTCACATTATCATTTAAAAATCTGAGGGATCACTTCATAGATTAGCAAATAACCAGAGAAAACAAAGTGGCACACGGGGGAATCATACATCAAATTAGTAAGGCATTGAAATATAAAATATACCTTCTAGACCAGGGGTGGGCAAACTTTTTGACTCGAGGGCCACAATGGGTTCTTAAACTGGACCGGAGGGCCGGAACAAAAGCATGGATGGAGTGTTTGTGTGAACTAATATAAATTCAAAGTAAACATCATTACATAAAAGGATACGGTCTTTTTTTTTTTTTAGTTTTATTCATTTCAAACGGGCCGGATCCAGCCCGCGGGCCGTAGTTTGCCCACGGCTGTTCTAGACCCTCAATTAAGTATCTTCTTAATTATGCCACATTTTCTTTACTATTTAAAAATTGGCCGTAACCGGTTTGGCTCCGTGGATAGAGTGTCGGCCTGCGGACTGAAGGGTCCCAGGTTCAATTCCGGTCAAGGGCATGTACCTTCATTGCGGGCACGTCCCCAGCAGGGGGTGTGCAGGAGGCGGCTGATCGATGTTTCTCTCTCATCGATGTTTCTAACTCTCTATCCCTCTTCCTTCCTCTCTGTAAAAAAATCAATAAAATATATTTTAAAAAAATTGTACTCCATCTGTCAGCTTTCAAAAAGTTCACATACTGAATTCTTTAAAATAGATATAACATAAGCCTCCCCCCTTAATCCTGGTTTAACATCATCACAAAGTTGCCTTGAATCATTTTAAGCATGAGGCAGAGTACATATAAATTAAAAGAAACACAATAACAAATATGCAAAATATTAGTATATTGGGCAAATAAGATTGAACAGGTTTTCCTATACAGGGAATACAATTGCATCCATGGCAATCTGTGTTATAATAAGCCATGTCATGGCAACTGACATACATAATATAAGGAAAGATGAGTGTGTGTCCATCCCTGTGTTGTCTACAAAAGTAGTACATGAATAATTGAGAGCAATGCTTTCATTTCTTCCATACAAAGTATGTAAAATTTTTTTATAAAAAATTTGTAGAATTATAAAAGGCAAACAAAAGAAAAAAGTGATTTATAAAGGAAGCTTCTCTGAACAACAAATTAATCTCTTCTGTTTCACTGACGGCCATTCCTTTTCCCTTAAAATAACTGGAACATTAAATTAAAAGTTAGTTATATAGACTGGACATCTTGTTATATACTGTATTAATGCAGTACCATCAAATTTTTCAGTGATCATTAAACAGTGGCATTATACAGCATAAAGAAATTCATTTATATAATGAGGCTAAAAATGTCTTCATTATTAAAGAGCCCTGACTTTCTGGTTTAAAATAAAGGAACTCCAGTAAAATTCCTTTTATCCTTTTATAGGAACTGGGAACATGAAGTTATAAACAGTAAGAGGCTATATATTTTTAAAATTATTATGTTAAGGAATATTGATGATAATAAAGCTTCCTATAAGCACTAAATGAAGTGGTCATTATGAATTTTCCTCATCTCAGATAATCAATGCAGCCTCATCAAGGTCACATTAGCACAGCTTCTTTCTCAGTGAGGGCTGAAGCATCAGCTCAAAAGGTATTCTTAAGGGTCTTAACAATTCAAGTTAAGACCTTCATGGAAACCTACTGAATTATCATAACAGGAACTATACATCTTTCGTAAAGTATTTGGCATCTAATAGGAATTTGTATAAAGATATCTGCTGTTTTTCAAAACTACTTTTATAGAGAAAATAGAGACAATCACCAATTTCTGAAAAATAGGGCAAGCTTCAGAAAATATGGTATAAACTAAGGGAACTTTGTACCTGGACAACATAAGTTTAGTAAGTATGAAAACTAGACATTTTAAATTATAAGATACAAATGAGTGAGTCTAGTGCTTAGTATATTACCATATAGATAAAATATGGGAAAAAGAGGTTCTGGTTAATTGACCTTCAGGTTAACCATTAAATTTTATTATTGATTTGTAAAGAATCAAGATATAATAAGTGAAGGGTATCAAAACATATACCTTTCTAAAATATACCTCTTTGCCATAAGAATTATTTTGAGCTGAAGGCACTTGAAACAGCAGATGCCGAGAGCAGCTTTTTGTGATTCCCCTTTTCTGCCTAAAGACAGATCCTCCAAAAGAAACTCAATTGTCATAAATCCCTTCCCTGGGAGTTTGATCAACTAGGGAAGATTGACACTTATCACCAGAATAGAAATCAATGGAAGACAATCAAGAGTCCAGAAATAAACCCTGACATACAGAGTCAACTGTGATTGCCAGGGGTTGGGGATGGGAAAAATGGGGAGATGTTGGTCAAAGGATACAAGCTTCCAATTATGAGAAAGTTCTGGGAATCTGATGTAGTAATTACAGTTAACAATACTGGATTAAGTACTTGA